TTATTTTCACAAAGCACGACATGTCACGTTAAATCGTTTGTAACATATATGAATTTAGTAATTTATTTAGAAAATTTTACAGAGACAGAGAAAGATGGGAGCTTGATGATTTTGGATATGTTAATAAAATTGACCAAAGTCAACCATTTTACATACTTGTCCGTGATCTTTCCAAACACATGTATGTAATTTTTTTTTATTTATTTACCAGACAATAATAATAGTAATATTAATCAATTTTTCTATAGATTCTCTGTTTGGGATGAAAAACTTGAAAATAAAACTAATATTTCAGAAGGAACAGTCACCAACTTGTCAATCTAGTTTACTCACAAGTTTTGCTTTTTATATTTAACTTTTTTTAAAGCACAAACAAAGAAAACAGATACCCTCGTAGAGATAAGAAAAAGTAAGTTTTCAAAACATATTAATATGGTAAAGCCTCCTCACAACAGATACATGTGGAGCATAAAAAAATTTCATTTAAAATCTGTTATGACATGAATTTAATTATAACCTACCATGGCAATGTTTTAACTGTACATAATTTTTGTTCCTGTAACTAACTTTAAATCATTTATTTATTTTATTGAGTTCAAGTTTAAATGATAGTGATTATGCAAATTTTTATTTAGAATATGACGTAAAGAAAACAACAATTATTGAGTTATGTGCATGGCATGTATTAAATAAAGTACAGTTACCACTGAGGTAATGGAGAGATGAACTATTTATCTATGAAAATTTTATTGATAAGGCTGCTGTCAAAGAACATTGGACAAATGAAGAAAGGAATAGTCATAACAAAGTAGTTTTTTGATTATACTTTTTCTAAATTATGGTTTTTCTGTCAATTTGTTGTTGGTGTCTCATGAAAAAGCATTTTATTCATAATGAACTCTCTCAACTAATGATATAAAAAAAATTTTTTTTTTCTGACAGCTTCAGGGTGCCAGTAATGAGATTGTGCAGTTTTTAGCACATTTGACAAATAATCCTGTTGATTTTTTAGATTTATGCCAGAAGAAAGTGTTTGAGTTGACAAAAAAAGAAGAATTGCCAACCTAATTGGTGGTAATGAAGTTCAAAAATCCATTTTTCAAAAATATGTAGATCTGATGGTTGGTATTATACATGCAGCCCAAAGTATTTTGACACTGTCATAAAGGGGGTTACACGTGTAGTAAAGGGGTGTTACACTTATGTTTTTAATAGTGAATGCCATAATTAATTTCTACTTTCTACCATCAAAATTGGAATAATTTTGACCATCAAAATCACCAAACCAATTTGGGTTGCATGTATAGTTGGTATATATTTTTAAAGATATTTTTTAGCATCAACTTTATTGTAACTTCTCATGCATTTTTAGGAGGAAAAATCTAAGTGGATTGTGGATAGCTATGACATAAGTTGTCTTTTTGCAGGCACAATCTCATGGGAAGAAATCAGAGAAGAATTGCCAACCTAATTGGTGGTAATGAAGTTCAAAAATCCATTTTTCAAAAATATGTAGATCTGATGGTTGGTATTATACATGCAGCCCAAAGTATTTTGACACTGTCATAAAGGGGGTTACACATGTAGTAAAGGGGTGTTACACTTATGTTTTTAATAGTGAATGCCATAATTAATTTCTACTTTCTACCATCAAAATTGGAATAATTTTGACCATCAAAATCACCAAACCAATTTGGGTTGCATGTATAGTTGGTATATATTTTTAAAGATATTTTTTAGCATCAACTTTATTGTAACTTCTCATGCATTTTTAGGAGGAAAAATCTAAGTGGATTGTGGATAGCTATGACATAAGTTGTCTTTTTGCAGGCACAATCTCATGGGAAGAAATCAGATCCTTATCATTTGATGATCCAAAACTATCATTTATTATCGATTTCAGCAAGCATCAGAAGAAATTACAACAGCTTCTTCCTGAACCAGTATTTAAAAAAATCATAAACATTCCAATTTATTATTTAGAAGAACCACCACTTGAATTTAGTAATTTATTTAGAAAATTTTACAGAGACAGAGAAAGATGGGAGCTTGATGATTTTGGATATGTTAATAAAATTGACCAAAGTCAACCATTTTACATACTTGTCCGTGATCTTTCCAAACACATGTATGTAATTTTTTTTTATTTATTTACCAGACAATAATAATAGTAATATTAATCAATTTTTCTATAGATTCTCTGTTTGGGATGAAAAACTTGAAAATAAAACTAATATTTCAGAAGGAACATGGGAAAGGATTGTTCTTGATCCTATTTTAAAAATCATGACAAGGAAAATAAATCATAAATGTTTTTGGCAATGGTAGGTTAAATTTCATGTCCTATTAAGTTTAATGCATATATATTTTTAAAAAAATTATGTTATTATTATATTAGGGCAGAGGCTGTTTCTTTGGCATCTGATTTTCAGAAAGAATTATATGCACGGAAACCTGATTTTTGCTTACCAATGGATGTTGCAGGTACTACCCAAGAAATGATGTATCATGAGACTTCAGGAAGTCCTCTTGTTAAGGATTTGGATAAGTGGATTGAAGATAGGCACAAACTCTTTCGATTTGGAAGAGATAGCAAAAATATGATTTGTGAACAATTAATAAATTATAACATTAAATATTTGGATGATCATGAAGCTCTTTGGAAAAAACTATGTGATACTGAAATTTTTTTGTTTCAATCATATGGTAATTAATCAAGGTTTATTATGATCATTGTATATTATATTTTTTTATTAATA